AATCTAACAAATTTAAATCTTGGAAAGCTTCCTTTATCTTCTTCTTTTATGAATAATATAAAATTGTAGTGAAACTGTTAGAAAAGAGAAGGATAGAAACATGTTAATGCTTTGACCCTCTAAGAACCTGGAAACCATACTGTACTAACTGTAGATGACATCTCAATCATCATGTGGACTTCAGGTATTCTTTTTTAAAACTTTACCTTTATTTATAATCTAAACTTTATCCAATTCTGGTGTAATCATAAAATGTATAGCTTACTAATTGCCTTTAAGGAAATTTTTGCCCCAATGAGCATTAGTATTGAATATGCTAAGCCAAATTTAGTTATCAAGACCTACTGATCACCTTTCACGTTCATACGGTCACAGTCCTCACCTGGATTCTCCCTTCCATTGTTTGACTAGTGGTCCTTTGGCGTGCTTCTCTGGGAACTGATGACAAGAGGAGCACCACCTTACCCTGACGTCAACACCTTTGATATAACAGTTTACTTGTTGCAAGGCAGAAGGCTCCTACAACCCGAATACTGCCCAGATCCCTTGTAAGTAGGAATTTCAACAGAATCTTCTGTCATTCCTATATTCTTTACTTTTACCAAAATGCTTGCCTTCACAATGTCTCTCATAGCATTTCTCCCTTTTTGAAATAGATATGAAGTGATGCTCAAATGCTGGCACCCCAGAGCTGAACTGCGCCCATCTTTTTCTGAACTGGTCTCCAGGATATCAGCAATATTCTCTACTTTCATTGGGGAGCACTACGTCCATGTGAACGCTACTTATGTGAATGTCAAATGTGTTGCTCCATACCCTTCTCTGTTGTCATCACAAGATAACATTGATGGCGAGGGGGACACATGACAGATGGATAACTCACCAGCCCCCTTCTGAGAAGCATCATAGACCTTTCCAAACAATAGTCTACATTTCGTTCAATTTTTTTTTCACTGCCTGGCCATTGAAAGGGCACCAGATATTTTTTGCTTTTGCCAAGATTGCACTATTATAGGACTTTATACTGCTATTTAAAATGACTGGATTCTGAGGAATTTATCAGCCGACAGAGCATCAGAGCCAGAAGCTTTGTCCCATAGGCCAGTGCCCAACAGCAACCCCACAGCTGTGATGATGCTCCTGTGCATTCAGGCCAAAACCTGAATTCTAGGTTGAAATTTAAAAATCAGGATCCTACATGATTTCATATGAGGAACGGAGGCAATGAATTTTGAGGACTTCTTGATCACAGAAAATTCAGAAGAAATGGTAAAGTCCCAGACAGTCGTGGCCCCAGTACCAAGCCATTCACTTAGACTTAAAGTGGTTCAAAGAACTTCCATGTGTTGTATGGTCACTAACACTTTTTATTACTGATGTTGTCATTTGCCCATTAGGCAAACATTCCCTTTTAAATTTTTGTATCACATTCCTTTTCATGGAGAAATATCCATAGACAATGCAGTGAACGTTTCAAAATGGCAGGACATGAAATGTGTTTATAAATTAATAGGTATATTTACATATTATACATAGGTGACATTAAGAAGGTTCTCATAAAGTAGCTTAGTCACAATGAAATAATTAGTTGTCGTTTAGAAATCAACGGAGAATGATACTATTCTAATGATTGTGGACATTTAGATGGTTTGTCTGTTGTTTTTTTTTTTATGACGACTCTGATTCAAACAAGTGATTTGTGATAAGTGTTTTTAAAGGTAACTTAGCATGTTGTTAAAGCAGAATACATCTGACTAAAAGGTTCATTGGTTCTTATCATGGCTCATGTAGGGCAAAGAAAGGATCGATGGACTGGAAACGTTAGCCTCTTTCTCAGGTGGCAGCTTCCCACCCCACAAATAATTGGAGGTAATAAAACTTTCTGGGAGTCCAGTTTTTCATTAGAACATGCTTTGTGGGAAGCAAAACATATTTTACGCGGAAATAAAAGCAACTGAGAGTTCTGGCCATTTCACCTGGATGAACAGTTGTTCTGGGCAGGACTTTTGTAATGTTTTGTTCTGTAGGATCTCGTGCTTACTACTGTATAGTGCATGTGGCACAGGATACTCTGTTTTTGTCAATGTAAACATTTGAAGTATTATATTTTTATAAAAATGTTTATTTTTAATGATATAAGAAAACTTTTGTTAGGCCACAAAAATACTGCACTGTGAACATTTCAGAAAAGGTATGTCAGGCTTGGATTAATAAAAGCATAGTTCTCAATGGCTGTAAATAGTGATAAGGAAATGTACTGATTGCCAGTAAACCCCACCCTCATTACATCACCAGGACTTGAAGCCAAGGGTTAACACAGCAAGCTATAAAGAGGGTGTGTTACACTGGAGCCCAATGGTAGAGCTGGGCTGATGTTGCAAGAGAGTGATTACAACCTACACTCTTTGACAGTAGTGGAATTTGCCAGAAGAAAACAAGGAATTGTAGGGTAGAGACATATTCCAATTTAAATGTTGTTTCAGAAGACTAAAGAGTGATACTAATGCACAAATATTGCAAATGGTGGGTAACCAAAAAAACTCTGCAGAAACAAATATCTCTACTAATATCCAGAGATGAATGCATCAGGAACAGAAAGAGCTTGTGGAAACAACCCATCAACAAGACTACACACCTGTATATACACTTGAGAAAGCTGCAATGTGAAAATCATGTTTGCTATTTATAAACATGTCCTTAGGTTAATGTGTCTGGACAGATTGTGAGAGTAAGTGGTTCTTCTAAGAATTAGATACTTGTCACTGCCTATACCTGCAGTTGAGCTGAATGGTACTTTGTATGTTAATAGTTGTTGTTTTGATAAATCATACAATTAAAATAATGTATCATCTTGTTACTGAGAGTTGGTTATTGCTAGTCATGCTTGATTACCTATTCCATTTACATAATGACTGAGGAAGTCTAAGATTGATTCCATCTGACCATCCATATATGAGAACCTTAGTTAATTCCTGGGCAGCTAAAGGAATTTGCATCCTTGAATCTCAGGAATTCTCTGTCTTTCTAAGAGTGGTTTGCCCCAAGTTGCCAAATTACCCACATTTCTCTATCTTTCAACTGCTAGAGCACCTGTCTCCTCCTTTTAGCATGATGCTCTTCTCCAGCAAGCTGCAGCTTGGACCAGAAGCTATAACAATAAAGCTGAAAACCCATACTTGACAGAGAAATATCTAGTTGGGTGTTGGAGGAGAGAGGCCTTCTTAGCCCCTTAAAACTACTCTATCTAGGAGCGCCTGGGTAGCTCAGTCGTTAAGCGCCTGCCTTCGGCTCGGGTCGTGATCCCAGGGTCCTGGGATTGAGCCCCACATCGGGCTCCCTGCTCCGGGAAGCCTGCTTCGTCCTCTCACACTGCCCCTGCTTGTGTTCCCTCTCTTGTGTCTCTCTCTGTCAAATAAATAAATAAAATCTTAAAAAAAAAAAAAAACTACTCTATCTACAAAGGTTACCAACATTCAGGAGCCCCCAGCTACTAGAGAACATACCTTCAGGTTATCTCTGTGAATATTCTTGGAATGGTAAGGGAATTCAGAGGTGATATTTCAGTCATCTAAAAATCATGCGTCACTTTGGAGCAATTCGATTTCAAAAAAGACCCAAAAATGAAACTGGTGCCTACAAAATACAATGGGGGCTGATCCTTTATGAGAGAGAATTCATTCCTTGTACACAGCCAAACTCCCAGCTAAGACATGCACCTCTCTAAGAACTTCAATCAGACTCCATGCGCCTGAAGGGCAAGAACCTGTCATCTTTATATCCCTAGTATCTGGCACTTAGTAGATTCTGAAATAACTGCTGAACTGAAACCAAGTTTTCCTATCCTTAATCACTTTAAACCACCACAGATGCAGTTATTACCTATGTAGTTTGCATGATATTTGGTGAACAATGACATGGGGAGGGGAGGACCTTTCTAGGGAGAGAGTGATAAAAGGATCTTCCTTTACAAAATTTTGCTTGATGCTCTGAAATTTTTTTTTAAGTAGGCTCCGTGTCCAGTGTAGAGCCCAACGCAGGGCTTGAATTCACAACCCTGAGATCAAGACCTGAGCTGAAATCAAGAGTCAGACACCCAACTGACTGAGCCACTCTGATGGTCTGTATTTTTAATTACAGGATTTTTCACTTCACAATGTAGGCATCAATTATATTTTTGCTCTTTCTGACCTACATAGCAGATTGCATCCTTAAAGAAATATGGGGAAAAAAAAAAAAAAAGAAATATGGGGAAGGAATATACAACCTATAAAAGAATATCAAATGTTTGCAGACGTCTTACATTGTTAACCTACCCAATTTGGTTCAAGAAACAAGTTAGCATTATATAAAAGAAATTGATTAGTATTTCATTTAATTCAATTAATGTTTATTTAGCAGCTATAAATGTCAAGTACATGTACTAGGTAATGGAGATTTAAGAATACAGTCTCTCCCACCCCAAGGAATTTAATGGAAGAGACAAAATTACACAACTAGTGCATATTTTAACTATGCATTTCTTAGATCTGTAAACTGTCTTGAAGAAGCATCACAATTTATAAGTGGAAGTTTGTATCTTTGGACCTCCTTCACCCGTTTGTCCCAATCCTATCTCCTACCTCTGGCTACCATGAATCTGTTCTCCAAATCTTTGAGCTTGGTTTTTTTGTTCTTTTGTTTTTGTGAGTTTTTTTTTTATTTTTAGAGATTCCACATATAAGTGAGATCATATGGTATTTGTCCTCTGTCTGACTTGCTTCAGTTAGCATAATCAAGGTCCATCCATGTTGTGGCAAATAGCAAGATTTGCTTTTTTGTGGCTGAATAATAGTCCAAAATACCACATTTTCTTTACCCATTCATCCATCAATGAGCACTTAAGTGGTTTCCATATCTTGGCTTTTGTGTGTAATACTGCAATGAACACGCATGTATCTTTTTTGAGTTACTGGGGGTTTTTTTCCCTTTTGGATAAATACCCAGAAGTGAAGTTACTGAATCAAATGGTAGTTCTATTTTTAATTTTTTGAAGAACCTCCATACTGTTTTCCAATTTACATTCCCACCAACAATGCACAAGCGTTCCCTTTTCTCCATATCCTTATCAACACTTGTTATTTTTTCTCTTTTTGATAATAGCCGTTCTAACAAGTGTAAGGTGATTATCTCATTATGGTTTTGGTTGGTGTTTCCCCGATTATTAGCGATGTTGAGCATTTTTCGTGTGTCTTGTTGGCCGTCTATGTGTCTTTGGAAAAATGTCTATTCAGATTCTCTGCCCATTTTTTTTTTTAAGATTTTATTTATTTGAGAGAGAATGAGATAGAGAGAGAGAGCATGAGAGGGGGGAGGGTCAGAGGGAGAAGCAGACTCCCCGCTGAGCAGGGAGCCCGATGCGGGACTCGATCCCGGGACTCCAGGATCACGACCTGAGCCGAAGGCAGTCGCTTAACCAACTGAGCCACCCAGGTGCCCTCTGCCCATTTTTTAATCTTTTTTTTTTTGCTGTTGAATGGTTGAATTCTTTATATATTTTGGATATTAACCCCTTATCAGATACATGATTTGCAAATATTTTCTCCCTTTCCATAGCTTGCCTTTTTGTTTTGTTGACGCTTCCTTTGCTGTGCAGAAGCTTTTTATTTATTTATTTATTTATTTATTTATTTATTTATTTATTTATTTATTTATGAAAGAGAGAAAGAGTGTGTGTACATGTGCCTGCACAAGCTGGGGAGGGGTGGAGGGAGAGAGAGAGAGAATCCCAAGCAGGCTCCATGCTCAGCACAGAGCCCAACATGGGGTTCAATCTCAAGACCCTGAGATCATGACCTGAGCCGAAATCAAGAACCAGATGCTCAACTAACTGAGCCACTCAGGCACCCCTGTTCAGAAGCTTTTTAGTTTGATGTAGCCCCACTTATTTATTTTTGCTTTTGTTGCCATTGCTTTTGGCATCAAACTCAAAAAATCATTGCCAAGACTTATATCAAAGAGTTTACTGTCTATGTTTTCTTTTAGGAGTTTTATGGCTTCAGATCTTTTTTTTTTTTTTTAATATTTTATTTATTTATTCATGAGAGTCAGAGAGAGAGAGAGACACGCAGAGGCAGAGGGAGAAGCAGGCTCCCCGCCTAGCAGGGAGCCTGATGCGGAACTCGATCCCAGGACCCCGGGATCATGACCTGAGCCGAAGGCAGACGCTTAACCATCCGAGCCACCCAGGCGCCCTATGGCTTCAGATCTTATGTTCAAGTCCTTAATTCATTTTGAGTTAATTTTTGTGTATGGTGTAAGATGGTAGTCAGTTTCCTTCTCTTACATGTGGCTGTTCAGTTTTCTCAACACAATTTATTGAAAAAATTGTCCTTTCCCCATTGTATATTCTTGGCTCCTATGTTGTAAATTAATTGACCATGTATGCATGGGTTTATTTCTGAGCCCTCTATTCTGTTCCATCGACTGATATGTGTTTTTATCCAATACCATACTATTTTGATTACTATAGCTTTGTCATATAGTATGAAATCATAGTTTAAACATTCCAAAGTGAAGCGTCCTAGGCAAATGAAATCAAACTCTGACTTACCTTGGGCAAAATAGTGAACCTCTCTCAAATAGGCCAATCCTACTTACTTCATGAAGTTGTTTGAAGACTAAAAAAAAAAGTATGGAAAGGTACCTAGTACACCATAGTTACTCATTAATAGTGATATTATTATCTTCAGTCTTGGACAATAAGAGCCCCGGTAACCTGTGGTTGATTGGAAAGGGAAATTAAGCCTGAAGGGAGACCTTACGGATGTTTAAATTCAAATCCTTTCCCCATCCACCTCATACCTGCTTTATACAGTAGATGCAGAGCTGTGATTTCACCTTGTCCTTGAGTATTAATGGGGCAGTGTTGGGGGGGGCGCTGAGAAGGGTGACAAGACAGTGACAAAATGGCGGCACCTTTCCCCTTAGTGCCAGACACCTGAAGAATACCTCTACCCCTTCTTCTTTCCTTAAACTCCCTACTATTTCTTTAATCACATCTCTAATGACTAATTTCCTTCTTTGAACCTAGAATATACAACAGATTTGAAAAGAAAAAACCCAATCTGTCTAAATTACGGGAAAGTTTCACAAAAGCACAATGACAGGAGTCACAATTCTCAGTATTCATGTCTAGAGATTATTACTGTTCTTTGTTTTGCTCAAATGGATGGTTAATTATTATCCAGATTCAGGAAAAAGTGGGCTAAGTACAGTATTGTTTTAGTTACATGATGTGGGTTTGGAAGATAAGGAATACTTCATTAATATTGTAATCCATCTGGATGACTAGACATACACAGGTAACTACACAATTTAGACAATTTCAGGAGATAAGTACACAGACATTATGCCCCAAAGTACGAAATGCTTATTGCTTTTAATTCCATAAAATGTTTTTCCTTTTAGTACTTGACATTTTTCTTTAAGACTATCTCAATTCCCTATCTATCAAAAATTGGAAATAAGTTCAGTCATAAACCAGTGAAATATATCAGTTGGTGAATTGAAAGTAATAAAACAGAGGCTTGCCTAAACTGTCCTTTGTTGTAAATTACACCCGAGGTCTAGATTACGTCAGCCTAAGGTATTGATCACAATGCTGAGAGGTTTATAACTACTATCGACTTACCATGCGACCCAGGAGCAGAAATCCAGGAAAATTGCAAAAGCATATCTATGGTAATGAAAAGCCCATCATTAATAGAACTTACTATCCTGTCATGTGACTAGTACTGTGTTGGCTTCGAGGAAAATATTTAACAAATGCTGGAAACAAGGATTCAGCTTTCTTTTTTTCCATTGCGTGCTTCTGAGCTATTCTGATAAATGTGTTTCCCTTCTTACCAATAAAAAGTACAGGTTTTAAAAAAAGTAACATGAATTAATTAGTCCCATATAAAATTAGCATCCAAACATTCAAATGGCTCCTAATACTTTTATTATTATTATTATTATTATTATTATTATTATTATTATTATTATTATTATTATTTTATGTTTTATTTTTTTACTAAAGAGGTAATTTCCCTTACAGACTAATTTGGAATAGGGCTCACATCCTATTCTCTTGGGCAGTGAATTGCTACCTGGTGAAGCATTCTGAAAACTAGTTAGTGTTAAAGAAGCAGTTCTGAAATGGGACTGGATATATTTAAGATGCATACACAGCATGTTTAAGTAAACTAGCTCTAACTGAACATTGTCTTGAAGCTCTGGATCCAGACTACAATGGTAATTAATTTTTATCCTTTTCTTGAAAAGAAGCCTTTTGTCTTTATGCATTCACTTTTTCACTGTCACATGCGTACATTCTTTTCACCACATGAACTCCAGGCTGGCAAAAACATCCACTAATCCTTGGACCTCTGGGTTGGAACGACAAAAATGCATAAAATCTTACCAGGCCAAAAGAGATCAACTTTAAAAATCTTTGGCATCCAAACATGTCAGAACTGTTTTTCCCTGATTCCCCAAGCCATTTGTGTTCCCCATTATGGTCCACGGGACCTATAATATAAGTTCCTACTTTTATTGGGCAGCCTGGAATTTTTAAGAACCATATTTCATTTACCTTTCTTGGTTGTTTATAATTTTCACAGTTGTCTTATGGGTTTTCTTTCTGTCTCTAATTCTTAAAGTATTAGAAGTGGTAAAAATAAAAAAAAAGAAGAAGAAGAAGTGGTGATGGACAGACTGCTCTCTGCCAGCTGAAGCCATCACTGACGTGTGCCCCTACGTTCTGGGTAACATCTGTTCTTTCCATTATCGTCAGTCTGGGCCTTTCCTTCTGTAGAACTGTACTAAACAACCATCATCTTTATCAGGGGCAACAGTTCTTGTAAACAAGAAATGCTAAATTCAGAGCCTTTGTGAAATCCTGCCACCCACGTCTGAATTCAGTCACATGATCAGCAGATATTATTTCAGAAGTCCCAATAAAGAAAAACTACAGAGAAACCCAAATAGCCTATCAGTATACTCTTGCAAGCTGTTTCTAATTTTTTGTTGGACTAAGAGAATTAAACATAGGGAATTTAAATTATCTTCGGTGGTAGCCGAAGGGTCTGTGAAAATACATGGGGAAAGCAAGAAGTCACTATCACAGAGATACTAAAAAAAAAACATATTTCAGAAAGAAAATATCCAGTGTTAAGACTACATAGGGATTTTTTCTGAAAATGAACTTAATTGATAAAAATAATAATGATAATAATGATCTCATCCCAGGACATGTCACAGGAATTAATGACTGTCTGGCAGCTAATGGGCTCAGGTAATGCTCTCAGGAATTGGTCTTGCTTAATGAAATGCTGTTTGTTTAGTAAACGAATGCTTAAAATGACAAGTAAAAAATCAGGGCTGCCACCATCAAGCCTGGTTGATTCACAGGGGAAAAAAGAAAGCTACACACAAAAATGTATACCATGTGCTACTCTTACTTTTTTTTTTTTTTTTTTAAGATTTTATTTACTTATTTGACAGAGAGAGACACAGCTCGAGAGGGAACACAAGCAGGGGGAGTGGGAGAGGGAGAAGCAGGCCTCCTGTGGAGCAGGGAGCCCGATGCCGGGCTCGATCCCAGGACCCTGGGATCATGACCTGAGCCGAAGGCAGACGCTTAACGACTGAGCCACCCAAGTGCCCCAACTCTTACTTTTTTATTCATTTGCAATTCAGGAAAAAAATACCCATCCTTTATCATTTTTTTCTTTTATACATCTGTCTCCCACTTTTACTCTGGGGATATGTTGACTCATGGATTGTTTTACTGACAGAGAATTAACCTGTTAATGAAAATGTAATCCCCTCTAGAGCAGGCATATCAAATTTAAAATTATGATTGCTTTGAATCATTTTGTTTTAAATTCTGTGATATGAAGAAGTGGATCCTCCATGTGGGCTTTAGATTATTGTCTCCAGATTATGCTTGGCTTAGAAAGTCGTTACACAACATCTTATTCCAAGATTATTCTAACAACTGACCTCCTGATTCTGCCCTCTCCGTATTGACGATTCCTTTTAATCCCAAACCAGCTGCCAAAACTATATAATATATGATTACATCGTTTTCCAGCTTGAAAACCTGTGCCCATTCCTAGATGTTCCCTGCATCAATTATTTACGTTGTCAGGTCTTGTTTTGTTTTATTTTTAGTATATATCCGCATGAAAAAAAATTTCAGACAAGAAGATATAAAGTGGACAGGAAATATCCTCTGACCACTCTCTCACACCCTCCATCCTCGCTTCCTAAAGGTAAGCAATGTTAACACTTTCTTGTATATTCTTCCAGAAATTTCCACCTTGCTTGAGTTCTAGATATAAGCTGTATAAACAGGGCTAAACCAAGCCATCTGGACCACTGCCTCCACCCAAGCTGATTTACAATTTGGTGTCCCTTCAAACTGATATTCTTTAAATATTTTCTCAACTTTCATTTAAAAAGAAGATTTAATTATGTTCTCTTCATATAAAAATTAAAGGAACAGATTTGCTTATTTCCATGTAACAAAGCAGAATCGATATACTAAAAGAGAAAAAAAAAGCAGCAAAATATTATACTTTTCTAAAATTCTAGTTCTCTTTTGCAATATTCCAACCAAACCAGCTTGTAAATTATAAAGGGTTTTAAACTTAGGTAATAAAAATAAATCACGCATTCCTGATATGCTGCATTCTGTGAAGGATTATTTTCAGAATTTCAGCTGACAGACAACTTTTAACTGACTGGAACTGTACTTAACGTGCGGCAAACATACACCACAGAGATGGGTTGTTTACTGTAGCAAGTTATTTTGTTTCACTCCAACTGTCCTTTCGGCAGGAGCACACCCAGCCTAATTTTGTCTGTTACATAAGGAGCCACATGCGGAAACCTGAATCAGCTGACATCATATTACTGACTTAATCCAGCCGTAATTCAGTGCCTAGTGACCTGGCGGGCCCATCTCTTCCTCTCATTCTGGATAGCTCTATAGCATAGAGGTTAGGTGGACATACTTTGCGATCAGACGCTGTAGATTTGAATCATTTCCACCACTTATCAGCGGCGTGATTTTGGACAAGTTGCTCAACCTTTCTAAGCCTCAGTCTCCACATTGAGAACACGGAAATGCAAGTGGTGACTTCCTCATAACACTGCATGAGGACTGAATGAAACAATGCATGCATAACTCTCCATAAGTGGCAGTAATTATTTCTGGAGAGCTTGGCTTTATTATTATTATTATCATTATCATTATCATCATCATCATCATCATCATTTATAACCTGCCTTGCTCCCCAGGAAGATTCAATGTGGAAGATGCTAGAATAAAGTTACCCCCAAACAGGTCCAAAGTTTGGCATAATCCAGAAATATATGAAAGTAAGAGTCATGAAAACAGATGCTATTCTTCTTCATCATTTTAAGTAGTACCAGCCTGGATGTTAGGAACAATGGGGCCCTAGTCCAGTCTGACTTTACTGCTTGTGTGACCCTCAGTGTCACTTAATCTTTCTAAGTTGTACTGTTCTTCCCTATAAAGCATAAGGATAATTATACTCACAGTGCTAGCTCTAAGTCTTAAATAATATAATAAGGTTTTATACAGAGGCATTATTATGGTTGTTAGATTCATCAAAATATTTTTTTATTTCAAAAATCTCCTTAGAATTCATCTGATGTACAAAATTTCCTCTAACCAACTCCAACACTTCCTTTCTGTTTGCAGAGATCTGTACTTAAAATCAATGGGCTCAGGCCTGAGAAGGCCACGAATCTGGCCCTGGGCATCAGCACGGGAGTTCTGGGTGCTCATTGCTAGCTGACCCTTAAACAACTCCACGTCCTCTTTGGAGTTCAAAGTCTGGGGGTGAAATCACTGCCCCTTCTCAAAGATAAACAAAAATGCAGATCTGAAGTGGTGTCCTGAGCTAACATGAAACAAGTTGAGTTTGAATCTCATCAGGCAGTGTTTTTCCAACATAATAAATTGCTCTTTGTTTAAATCAGAAACTGAATTCATTTTATTTTCCAAAATCGGCCCCGCCAGGTTTCCTTGATTTAATTGTATCTTTTTCGTCTGCTGACAATGGAAAGCAGAAGAAAATAGTCTTGCTAAGGAAATGAAATATTACCAAGAAAAACAGGCATTCTCACACTGTATGAGGGGGGCTTTTTTTTTTTTTACATTCAATTTTTTTATTAAAAAAAAAAGGTCTCTACCCTTTGAAACAACAGCATTATTGCAGTTACTGTTAGGTCATATCTACATGGCCCAAAAGAAAATGTTGGAAAGAAAATTAACTAGTTCAGAAGGGTATGGACAACATTATTTTTAAAAGGAAATGGTTTTTCATACATAGAAAGAATAACAAATGATAGCAAAGAAAAGTGAGAGTTGGAATAATTATTTAAATAATTCAAATAAAAATGTATGATTAAAGCATCTGTGGAGTTCAGCTAAAATCAGTTAGAGGGAACACAAATTAACCAAATCATTACTGTAATTCTTCAGCTTACTTAGCTAAAACAGCCCTTGTTTTAATAGCAGAGAAAAACTCAGTCCTGACTGACTGGTAAGGAGGTCTTGTAATGAAAGAATAAGGGTGTGAAGCAAGAAAGGGCCAGGTTCCCATCCCAGCTCTGCCACCACTCACCACTTACCAGGGGAAAAATTTGGATTTTCATTTATTCAATTTTAAAATATTTTTGAGAGCCTTTGACATGATAGGCACTGTTCTAAGGAAGGAAAACACAGCAGGGAATAAAAGACTGTTGCCGCCATGGGGCATTTATTCCAAAGCAGGGAAAAAGAAAGGAAGAGAGAGAGAGAAAAGGGAGAGAGAGGGGCACCTGGATGGCTCAGTCGTTAAGCATCTGGAACCACAGGGCACTACATTCCCTGCTCCGCGGGAAGCCTGCTTCTCCCTCTCCCACTCCCCCTGCTTGTGTTCCCTCTCTCGCTGTGTCAAATAAATAAATAAAATCTTTAAAAAAAAAAAGGAGAGAGAAAGGGAGGGAAGGAGGGAGGGGAGGAGGAAGGAGGGGAGGAGGGAGGAAGGAAGGAAGGAACAAAGGAACGAAGGAAGGGAAAAAAGATAGATGGATAATGGATGGGTGTATAGATAGGTACACAAACGTTATTTTCAAATTGTTTTAAGCGCTGTGAAAGGAATAAATAGGATAAAAGGTAAGGATTAAAATGGCTATTTGGTATAGGGTGATCAGGAAAGGCCTCTCTAAGAAGCAAAATGTGAGCTGAGCCTGGAAGATGAGAAAGAGCCAGCAGTGTGGAGGGCTGGTGCGTTGCCCTGGAGGCAGTGAGAACACCAGATGCAAAGGCTGTTTCTGGAGGCAGGAAAGGGCCTGATGAAGGCCCAGGAAACAGACCTACAGGGCAGTAATCTGTTGAGCTGGGTGGAGTAGAGTAGTATGAGGCAAAGTTTGAAAATGTAAGCAACAACGAGTTAGATTTCTATTCTAACAGCAGTAGACAGCTACTGAAGGGTGTTAAACAGCATTTTTTATTTATTTATTTTTAAAGATTTTATTTATGTATTTGAGAGAGAGAGAGAGAGCACAGCAGCGGGGAGAAGGAGAAGCAGGCTTCCTGCCGAGCAGGGAGCCCAATGTGGGACTCGATCCCAGGACCCTGAGATCATGACCTGAGCCGAAGGCAGACGCTTAACTGACTGAGCCACCCAGGCGTCCCCTAAACAGGGTTTCTTAAAGATCAGTCTAGCTGCTGAGTGAAAATAGATTGTAGCAAAGCAAGAGAAGCAAGGCGACTGTTTAATAACATTTGGCATGACGGGCGCCTGGGTGGCTCAGTCGGTTGGGGGACTGCCTTCGGCTCGGGTCATGATCCCAGGGTCCTGGGATCGAGTCCCACATCGGCTCCCTGCTCAGCGGGAAGCCTGCTTCTCCCTCTCCCACTCCCCCTGCTTGTGTTCCCTCTCTCGCTGTGTCTCTCTCTCTCTCAAATAAATAAATAGAATCTTTAAAAAAAAAAAAACATTTGGCATGAGATCATGGGAGGCTCCAAGTAGGATGGAGGCAGTCAAGGTAGAGATAAGTGAACAGACTTGAGATGCATTGAAGACAAAAGGAATGAAACATGCTGATGAACTGTATGTGGATTTAGAGGGAAGGAAACAATCAAAGGCAACTCTTACACAGTTGTGTAAGACTGATGAATCACAGACCTGTACCTCTGAAACAAATAATACATTATATGTTTAAAAAAAAGAAGATAGTAGGAAGGGAAAAATGAAGGGGGAGAAATCGGAGGGGGAGATGAAGCATAAGAGACTATGGACTCTGAGAAACAAACTGAGGGTTCTAGAGGGGAGGGGTGTGGGGGGAGGGGTTAGCCTGGTGATGGGTATTAAAGAGGGCATGTATTGAATGGAGCACTGGGTGTTATACGCAAACAATGAATCATGGATCACATCAAAGAAAGAGCGAAAGAAAGAAAGAAGGAAGGAAGGAAGGAAGGAAGGAAGGAAGGAAGGAAGGAAGGAAGGAAGGAAAGAAATAGGGGGGAAAAAAAGGCAACTCTTAGACTCTTAGATTTTTGGCTTATGCAAATAGATGGCTGGTGTTGCCACCTGTGGTGAGAAAGCTGGGAGTCACAGGTCAGATCAAGAATTCTACCTTAAACATTTCAACTTACGATGCCTCCTAGACAAAGAACTGGAAATGCCATTTGAATATGTAAGTCTGAAGCTTGGAGGAAACAAGCCATCAACATTTGGTTCTATAAAGCCATGGAACCAGATGAGATCATCTAGGAAAAGAAGCTAGAGAGGACAAGGATGGAACCACAGGGCACTACATGTCTAGAAGGCAGGGAGGTAAGATTGAGAAGAAGTTACTTAATTCATCATAAAATACAAACTTATCACATAGAAAAATTAAATAAAATTATGTATGCTTTGCTACTAGCTGGTTAAAGCTACTTAACGATTGTTCATTTCTTCCATTTTTTTCTAACCCTCTTCCTGCTCACCCACTCCCACCACCCAAATATAGTCAACCTCTGATTCTAAAAAGAAGTCAGCCACTGTGTACCCAAAGGAATTAAAACCTAACACTTCTTTTTAAGAATTTTTTTTTTTAAAGATTTTATTTATTTTTTTGACAGAGAGAGACACAGCGAGAGAGGGAACACAAGCAGGGGGAGTGGGGGAGGGAGAAGCAGGCTCCCCGCAGAGCAGGGAGCCCGACGCGGGACTCGATCCCAGGACCCCGGGATCATGACCTGAGCTGA